CATTTCTTTTTTTTTTTTTTTTTTTTGCGGTACACTGGCCTCTCACTGCTGTGGTCTCTCCCGTTGCGGAGCACAGGCTCCGGACGCGCAGGCTCAGCGGCCATGGCTCACGGGCCCAGCCGCTCCACGGCATGTGGGATCCTCCCTGACCAGGGCACGAACCCGTGTCCCCTGCATCGGCAGGCGGACTCTCAACCACTGCGCCACCAGGGAAGCCTGTGCCTCCCCCTCCTCCCCCAATCCCTTTTCCTTTAATCTGACTCTTAATGAAGTGGGTTTCTTGGGGACAGCATATAACTGAGATTAAAAAAAATTTTTTTTTAATCCACTCTGAAATCTCAGTCTTTTCATAGTGTGTTTAGACCATTCACATTGAAAGTGATTATAATATACAGTTGACCCTTGAACAGTGCAGGGGTTAGGGGGCCCGACCCTCTATGCAGTCAGAAATCTGTGTATAACTTATAGCTAGCGCTCCAAATACCATGATTCCTCCAGCTCTGTGGTTCCTCCGTATCCATGGATTCGACCAACCAGGGATTCAACAACCACGGATCATGCAGCACTGTAGTATGTACTATTGAAAAATACCCATGTATTATGTGGACCTGTGCGGTTCACATCTGTGTGGTTCAAGGGTGAACTGTAGTTGGATTAATATCCACCATATTTGTTTTCATTACATTAAAAAAAGTCTCTGCCTTGTTTGGTTTCAATGGAATATTTTATGATTCCATTTTCTCTCCTCTTAGGATATCAATTATACTTCTTTAAAAAAACTTTGTAGGAGTTGCCCTAGAGTTTGCAATATACATTTCAAACTAATCTAAGTCTACCTTCAGATAACACTGTCTTAGAGTGTTTTCAAGTCTTCCCTCTGATCCTTTGACATTGCTGCTGTTCACTTCTTCCATGTGCTGTGATCACCCAGTGCATTTTCACTATTATTACTTTAACAGTTATCTTTTAGATCAATTACAAATAAGAAAAAGAAAATATTTTAGTTTGCTTTTTTTTCTTCTCCAGCACACCACTTGCTTTCTTTATGAAGGCCTTAGTTCTGACATATCATTTTTATTTCTCTCTGAAGAACTTCTTTTAACATTTATTACCGGTTAGGTCTACTGGAAATGTATTCTTTCAGTTTTTGTTTGCTTAAAAAATTCTTTATTTCTCCTTTACTTTTGATGAATAGTTTCGCTGGATATAGAATTCTAGGCTGGTGTTTTTTTCTTTCAATGCTTTAAATATTTCATTCCACACTCTTGCTTGTATGGTTTTTAACAAGAAGTCTGCTGTAATTCTTCATTCCTCTACAGGTAAGCTGTTTTTTCCATTTCTGATTTTCCCTCTGTCTTTGGTTTCTGCAATTTGAATATGATATGCCTACGTGTGTATTTTTTGGTATTTAACCTGTTAGATGTTGTCTGAGCTTCCTGTATCTGTAATTATCTTGGTGTCTGTAATTAATTCTAGGAAATTCTCAGCCATTATAACTTCCAACAGTTTTCTCTTTGTTCTTTTGGTATTCCATTTATGTATATCTTACACCTTTTAAAGTTGCTCCACAGGTCTTGGATGCTCTCTTTTGTCTTTTCCTCCTTTTTTCCTCTTTGTATTTCGGTGCGGGAGGTTTCTGTTTACTTCTCTTCAAGCTCATCTTGCCTGTGTCCAGTCCACTGATGAACCCACCAGATACAGCCTTCATTTCTTTTAGTGTGTTTTTGCTTTCTAGCATTTCTCTTTGACTAGTTCTTAGGGTCTCCATTTCTCTGCGACATTAGGTATCTGTTCCTGCATATTGTCTACCTTTGCATGGGAGCCCTTAACCTATTAATCACGGTTATTTTAAATTCCTTGTGTGATAATTCCAAGATCTGTGCCATGTATGATGCCCATCCTGATGCTTGCTAGCTCTTCAGATCATGTTTTTAATTGCCTTTCAGTATTCTTTGTTGAAAGCCAGACATGATGTGTCGGGTAGTAAGAACTGAAGAGTGGTTCTTTATTGTGAATTGTATGTTACTCTTACTATGACTTGGGCCGTGTTAAAGGTTTGCTGTAGGTGCCTATAGCTACAGCTGTAGGTGCCTCAGGTTTCAGATTCCTCAGGTGTCCTGGTTTTGACCTCTTTTGTCTTTGGGCTCCTCCCCAGATGGGGTCTTGCTGTTCTTTCAGATGTCATCTGCTGTCACACGAGAGCCTGTTGATATTGTGGTAATAATGTACAATTTTACCACCTAAAGTCTTTAAGGGGCACGAGCTCGCTGTGTCCCCCTTTGGCTGGCAAAGCAATAAAGCTATTCTTTTCTACTTCACCCAAAACTCTGTCTCTGAGATTCGATTCAGCACAGAGGTGCACAGAGGCCAGGTTTTTGGCATCAGTACTAAGTAAAGTAAGTCAGAAAGAGAAAGACAAATACCATATGATGTCACTTACATGTGGAATCTGAATGAACATATCTACGTAACAGAAGCAAACTCATAGACATAGAGAACAGACTTGTGGTTGCCAAGGGGGAGGGTGGGGTGGGGAGGATTGGCAGTGTGGGATTAGCAGATGCAAACTAGTATATATAGGCTGGATAAACAGCAAGGTCCTACTGTAGAGCACAGGGAACTATACTCAGTATCCTGTAATAAACCATCATGGAAAAGAATATGAAAAAGAATATATTTTATATATATTTTTATATATATATATATAAACCGAATCACTTTGCTGGACAGCAGAAATTAACACAACATAATAAATTAAAAAAAAAAAAAAAAGACTGCTTCTGCTCTGAGTTACTGCCCAGCCTGCCCACTTCCGTCTTTTGTTGCTCAGGGTTTTACCAAACGGAGCTCTGAGTTTTGGTGGGAGCGCCAGGTGTACATGTGTGGGATGGGTGAGGGTCTTTAGTTCTTTTCTAGTCTCCATCGGCCTCCTTATTACGCCCCCTTTTTTGATAGGCAAACGTGTTTCATCAGTCTTAACACAAATGCAACCTTAACTCCACACTCTGCTCCCTTCCCCCCAACCGGTGTGTTCTATCAGAGCTCCCCTAAGCTGCTGCTTAGATTCTGCACTAAAGCAGAGAGCTTTCAGGCCTCTCGGTTATCTGTAAGTCAGCAGCCAACCAGTAAGGAGGCAAAAATTGTGGGCAGCCTAAGGAATAATTGCTCTAAAAACCCACACACCCTTTCTCCCTTCTTCCCCTAAAGCCATTAAGTGGGACAGATCGCAGTGAGTGTAGGGTTGGGGTGCGTGGGCAGTCGGAGCCTGGATAGGATGAGGGGGGCGTCTGCCAGGGAGGGGACAGTGGTAGCAACCAGTTTGTGTCGTATCCAGTTTTTCTCAAGGGCTGTGTCATTCTTTAAGGGTTGTGCCCTGCCCCCTTCCCTCCTACCTCAAACCCGTTGGATAAAGTAGGAGAACGTGAACCCAGACTGATATGGCTAAATGAATAAGTTGAAAAGTTAATGAGGAACAGAGTTTCAAAGTAATTCTCCACGGAGTGCTTGTTAATGACAAAGAGAAAGGGGATACCGCACAGACGGAAGCTTGGCAGACACTCTTCATCCACTGGTCAAAGGAGTGTTACCAGTAATGGGACAAAACAAAATCGCCTGGCACCTGATAGGATGGGATAAAAGGGATACAACATCACTTCTGTGACTCATTGCAGTGATGTATAACCTGAATCTAATTATGCTCTAATTATGATGAAGCATCAGACAAAACCAAACTATGGGACATTCTGCAGAAACTTGTGGCCCTTCCTCAGGGCCTGATACGTAAGAATTAGAGGGTCTTATTCCTCTCAACCGTCTTGAGTTCCAGGCAGTAGAAGATGGGGCAGGAGCAGGTGCTGTCATTTTTTCCCTCTGCTGTCGATTCACGGTGCTTTTCATGACAACAGGATGGTAAACTTTTGTGTTGTGTGCTTTTTTTTTTTTTTTGCGGTACGCGGGCCTCTCACTGTTGTGGCCTCTCCCGTTGCGGAGCACAGGCTCCGGACGCGCAGGCCCAGCGGCCATGGCTCATGGGCCCAGCCGCTCCGCGGCATGTGGGATCTTCCCGGACCGGGGCACGAACCCGTGTCCCCTGCATCGGCAGGCGGACTCCTACCCACTGCGCCACCAGGGAAGCCCTCTTTTTTTTTTTTTTTTAATATTATTTATTTATTTGGTTGTGCCAGGTCTTTGTTGTAGCAGGCGGGCTTCTTAGTTGCGGCATGCAGACTCTTAGTTGCAGCATGCATGCGGGATCTAGTTCCCTGACCAGGGATGGAACCTGGGTCCCCTGCACTGGGAACTTGGAGTCTTAGCCACTGGACCACCTGGGAAGTCCCTCAGTATGTTTTCTTATTTGCTTCTCACAGTTCCCTGCTGGATTATTCTTCCACCTTTGCGATGATGATATAATAATAATTAATAATAAAGGACAACATTTAGGTAATACTTCTCATGGCCAGGTGATAGTCCGAGCCCTCTGAATGCTGCATACATTAACTGGTTTAATCCTCACAGTTACCTTGTGAGGAAGATACGCTGTGGTTAGTCCATTTTACAAATGGGGAAACTGGGGCACAGAGAAGTTAAACACCTTGCCCAAGGTCACACAGCTGGAAAGTAGTGGAGCCACAATTCAAGTCAGGCCGTCAGACTCTGGATCCCTAGCCTTTATTTACTGCATGCTGTGGCCTCCTGTATCGTGCCGCTGGGGGAACCAAAGACTCAGCTCGCTTGGGTGGCTTGTCGGGGGCCCCTTGTTCACTTACTCATTGATTCTGCAAATCTGCGCTGAGTGGCCGCAAATGCCAGACTCTGTTCCAGATGCTCTGAAACGGGACAAGGCAGCTAGATCTCTGGGCTTCACGAGCTGGACACCAGGCCTGCTGCCCGGGGTCGAGCCTAGATGCAGGGCACGTGCGCGGGGAGCAGGTGGCTGCACGTGGGCTGCTGGCCTATCTGTTCCTGTGCTCACACGTGTGTTGTCCTCTTGTCTCTTGAAGGTCGCCTGGTGGGTGCCCTGGATGCAGTGCTGGATTCCAACGCCCGGGTCGCTCCGTTTCGAATTCTACTCCAGGTCCCCGGCTCCCAGGTGTATTCTCCCATAGCATGTGGTGAGTTACTGAGTGGATCGGACGTTTACTGGGCCGTGGCCACGGGTGAGTTTTGTTCCAGGTGGAGTGTTCCCCACCTTGAGGTCTGGGCATGAGTATCTGCATGGTCGTGACGCTAGAAGGTAACTCCTTCTAGAACCTCATCTGCTGCCATGAGCTCTTTGTTCTTCCTTTCTTTTTTTGTTTTTCTTTTACAACCATTGGAAGCGTGTAGAGGCTCTAAGCTTGGGCATCCAGGCTTTCAAGTGGCGTGTTGGTCCAGGGGCCTGTGAATCCAGCTGTTTTCTTCATCTTGTGTCTGACATAACACACGAGTCCGGGGCGTGTGCATATACCGTAACAGGGCAGGGGAGGTGTCTGGGGCTGGGTCTGTCTTAGGCCAGCCTTCACCCTTGTTCCACGTGTGCACTGAATCACTGGACGGCTGAGCCCTACGGGAATTTAGAAATCACCTTCGCAACCTCTCCAGCTGAGCTTCAGTTCCTCCTGCATGCACTGGCCAATACTCCGCCTCGTGACTCCAGCTCCTCTGGGGCTGGGAATCGTTGCACCCTGAGAAGCCACTTCTATTAAAAAACAAAACCGGGGCTTCCCTGATGGCGCAGTGCCTGAGAGTCCGCCTGCCGATGCAGGGGACACGGGTTCGTGCCCCGGTCCGGGAGGTTCCCACATGCCGTGGATCAAGTAAGCCCGTGCACCACAACGACTGAGCCTGAGTGCTAGAGCCCGTGAGCCACAGCTACTGAGCCTGCATGACACAACTACTGAAGCCCGTACGCCTAGAGTCAGTGCTCCGCAACAAGAGAAGCCACCGCAGTGAGAAGCCCACGTGCCGCAATTAGAGAAAACCTGCGCGCAGCAACGAAGACCCGATGCAGCCAAAAATAAATAAATAAAATAAATAAATAAAAATAAAATAACGTATATTTAAAAAAAACCCCAAGATGTGTCTTTTTAATTACACAAGTAATAAATGTTCATCCTTCAGAAATTAGAAAATAGGTAAGAAAGGAGGAGAAAGAAATCACCTATAACCTTTTATCTGGTGCTAATCACTCTTGTGTCTGCGTATGTGCCTCTCCACAGAGGTTTTTAGTTGTGTTTTTTTCCTCTTAACACTTTACTAATCACCATAAACTTTCACTGTCACCTCACATTCTTGAACAACATTGGATGAATTTTTTTTTTTTCCTGGAAAAAATACAGGAAAGTTTAAAGAAGAAAATTGTCATCCATATCCACCATTACTAACAGCTGTTCACGTCTTGGCATGTTCTTCCAGTCTGGTTTTTTTTTGAACAAATCATTCTCTATTTCCATTAAGTGATGAAATGATGCACGCTCAATGTAATCAGTTAATACTGGAAAGTACAGATAAGAAAATATATCTTGCCCCACAGCCTAGGCACCCAAGGGTACCTCCAGTGACACTGGGGTCACATCATCCAGGCAACTTTTTTTTTTTGTATTTTTTTGGCCACACTGCATGGCTTGGGAATATTAGTTCCCTGACCAGGGATTACACCTGGGACCACGGCAGTGAAAGCGTTGAGTCCTAACCACTGGACCGCCGGAGAATTCCCAACACAACTTTCTAATGCATTTAGACAAGTCCAGGGATAGTTATGAAGAAGGATAGGCGAGCTTTATAAAAATGCAGCTTGTCTGACAGTGCTAGTTTATGATAAAAATATTGTTTTTAGTGGATTTCAATAAAAGGAAAGATGCTGAAGTGAAACGAAAGAACCATTAAACTTCAAATAAACACCGAGCACTTCCTTTCTAAAAGGTTCATTTAAGGTCAAGGGGAGAGATGTTTAAAAGCATGACAAGGTCAGAATTGTGGCTTTTGAAGACAGTGTTTCCGTTCTGGCAATGTTCATTGACTCCCCTCCTGAAGGACAGGGATGTCAGCGTTCTCATCCCTCCCCTGCTTCCCCAGGCTCTCATTTTTTTTTTTCCTAACATCTTTATTGGAGTATAATTGCTTTACAATGTGCGTTAGTTTCTGCTTTATAACAAAATGAATCAGCTATACATATACACATATCCCCATATCCCCTCCCTCTTGCGTCTCCCTCCCACCCTCCCTATCCCACCCCTCTAGGTGGTCACAAAGCACTGAGCTGATCTCCCTGTGCTATGCAGCTGCTTCCCACTAGCTACCTATTTTACATTTGGTGGTGTATATATGTCCATTAGGCTCTCATTTTTAAAAGTCTTACTATTCATTGTACGTGGTAATTTCCATTCTCTTCTGTAACCACACTTTCCACCATTATTTGGCTCAGTTCTCTATGTAAATTGATTTAATGCTTCCATCAGGTACAGCTTTCCCAGCACAGAGTCTTTTACTTTGGTTCCTGTCTTAATTGGCTATATTCCTGTTTTCTTCTCCCAATAACATCTCACATTTGCAAGTGTTTGTGCCTTGCTTTTGAACTTGAATGACACCTTGGCTGGGTCTGATGGGCTCTGGCCAGACTCTGGAGCTTCGTGGCCATCACTTCGGGGTCTTTCAGTATTTAAGTGGCAAAGGGAGAAATCTCAGGCTGGTCTGATTCCTGCCCCCGCCCTTGTGGATGATGTGCTTTTTGTGGGGATAACTGTTTTTTTATCACTGAAGTTCAGCAGCATTAGTCCCTTTAGGAACTTGGTTACAACCTGTTACTCCCTTGAGCATACACCATGTTACATTTTTCTGCAACTCCACGTACTCTTCCAGGACACAGATTGATTTCTCTTTTTTTAATTTTTGGCTGCGTTGGGTCTTCATTGCTGTGCGTAGGCTTTCTCTAGTTGCGGCGAGCGGGGGCTTCTCTTCTTTGCGGTGCGTGGGCTTCTCATTGTAGTGGCTTCTCTTGTTGCGGAGCACGGGCTCTAGGCGTGCGGGCTTCAGTAGTTGTGGCACGTGGGCTCTGTAGTTGTGGCTCACGGGCTCTAGAGCCTAGGCTCAGTAGTTGTGGCACACGGGCTTAGTTGCTCCGCAGCATGTGGGATCTTGCCAGACCAGAGCTCGAACCCGTGTCCTCTGCATTGGCAGGCGGATTCTTAACCACTGCGCCACCAGGGAAGCCCCAGATTGATTTCTTTAATCATGTAAGGAAACGTTCTTTTTGTTTGTTTATCTGTTTTTTATTTGTCTTTTTTGTTTTTGTTTTTGTTTTGCGGTACACGGGCCTTTCACTGTTGCGGCCTCTCTTATTGCGGAGCACAGGCTCCAGACGCGCAGGCCCAGTAGTTGTGGCTCACGGGCCCAGTTGCTCCGCAGCATGTGGGATCCTCCCAGACCAGGGCTCGAACCCGTGTCCCCTGCATTAGCAGGCAGATTCTCAACCACTGCACCCCAGAGAAGCCCAATATGGTGTTTTTTTAAATTAAGGCATGTACATTGTTTGTTAGTTTATTTTTCATCTCCTCATGTCTTCTATTACTTAATAGGTCTTCTTTTTAAATTAATTATCTATTTTATATATATTAGTGTATATATATATATGTCAATCGACATATTGACATATGTATATGTCAGTCCCATCTCCCAATTCATCCCCCCCTTCCCCCGCTTGTAGAGAACATGTAGATGTTCTCTACATCTGTGTCTCTATTTCTGCCTTGCTAACAGTTTCATCTGTACCATTTTTCTAGATTCCACATATATGCATTAACACACGATATTTGTTTTTCTATTTCTGACTTACTTCACTCTGTATGACAGTCTCTAGGTCCATCCATGTCTCTACAAATGACCCAGTTTCGTTCCTTTTTATGGCTGAGTAATAATTGTATATGTGTACCACATCTTCTTTGTCCATTCGTCTGTCGATGGGCATTTAGGTTGCTTCCATGATCTGGCTATTGTAAATAGAGCTGCAGTGAACAATGTGGTACATGACTCTTTTTGAATTATGGTTTTCTCAGGGTATATGCCTAGTAGTGGGATTGCTGGGTCGTATGGTAATTCTGTTTTTAGTTTTTTAAGGAACCTCCATGCTGTTCTCCATAGTGGCTGTATCACTTAACATTCCCACCAACAGTGCAAGAGGGTTCCCTTTTCTCCACACCCTCTCCAGCATTTGTTGTTTGTAGATTATCTGATGATGCCCATTCTGACTGGTGTGAGGTGATACCTCACTGCAGTTTTGATTTGCATTTCTCTAATAATTAGTGATGTTGAGCAGCTTTTCATGTGCTTCGTGGCCATCTGTATGTTTTCTTTGGAGAAATATCTAGGTTTTCTGCTCACTTTTTGATTGGGTTGTTTGTTTTTTTTAATATTGAGCTGCATGAGCTGTTTATATATTTTGGAGATTAATCCTTTGTTAATTCATTTGCAAATATTTTCTCCCATTCTGAGGGTTGTCGTTTCATCTTGTTTATGGTTTCCTTTGCTGTGCAAAAGCTTTTAAGTTTCATTAGGTCCCATTTGTTTATTTTTGTTTCTATTTCCATTACTCTAGGAGGTGAGTCAAAAAAGGTTTTGCTGTGATTTATGTCAAAGAGTGTTCTCCCTATATTTCCTCTAAGAGTTTTATAGTGTCTGGTCTTACATTTAGGTCTTTAATCCACTTTTTTTTTTGTAATAAACTTATTTATTTTGGCTTCATTGGGTCTTTGCTGCTGCACATGGGCTTTCTTTAGTTGTGGCGAGCGGGGGCCACTCTTCGTTGCATTGGACAGGCTTCTCATTGCGGTGGCTTCTCTTGTTGTGGAGCATGGGCTCTAGGCATGTGGGCTTCAGTAGTTGTGACACACAGGCTCAGTAGCTGTGGCTCGTGGGCTCTAGAGCGCAGACTCAGTAGTTGTGGTGCATGGGCTTAGTTACTCCGCGGCATGTGGGATCTTCCTGGACCAGGGCTCAAACCCATGTCCCCTGCATTGGCAGGCAGATTCTTAACCACTGCGCCACCCGGGAAGTCCCTAGATCTTTAATCCATTTTGAGTTTATTTTTGTGTATGGTGTTAGGGAGTGTTCTAATTTCATTCTTTTACATGTAGCTGTCCAGTTTTCCCAGCACCACTTATTGAAGAGACTGTCTTTTCTCCAT